ATTCCTGACTCTCCCCATCTTCGTAAGCGTCCGTGTGTGTCCTAACATCAGAAACCGGCATTTTAAGTTAAAAACGAGTCGTTGCGAATATGGGACTCATACTTTTGTGCAAAGCTGAAGTGACTCAAATTGGAAAAAAAACATGTGTATTTACTATAATATTGTTATCGCTTCTGGTGAAGGCTCAGCAGCCGATACATTCATTTTTGCGCACGAAACGGTGACTAACAGAGAAAGTTAGAACAGTGTTACTGTCTTCATTTCAACAATGTTCACACTTGCAGGCTTGCGCTGATGAGGCCTCAAAACAGACACTCGCATATCGTAACCTCGTTGTCACACCACTGCTGAAAACGTCACTGTAAAATTGCCAGCAAACACACAAATATGAAACCGATACAATTATCTTGTAGAATATCACCTTATTTAGTAATAAGTGAGTCAATCTGCATTTAAAAACGAACCTAAAAACGTTTGTTTGCACGAAAAAATGAAATATCAACTTTTAGGTCTGGCAACAATGTAGTTTTGGCGAATCTTTAGAAACGTTCGGCAAAAATATTCGGCATTGCCGGATCCCAATATTCGGCGCCGAATTTTCGATCCGGCAAAAGTTCGGTCTATCACTAGTTTTTACGCAAATTATTCGACTCCGCCATTGTCCGGGCACGTACTCTGGGCGTCGATTGGACACGAGGGTTGCGTCAGCCATCGGTGTGAGCTCGGCTCAGCTCGTATCGAAAAACGAGCGTGACGTCCGCGTTCGGCGAGGACTCGGATCCAATCACACGCCTCGTGCCCAAGAAATGGCGACCGCCAGTGTTGCTTGACGAGGTTTCGAAAAGGTTATATTACAAGACACTCACAAACACAGTCCAACCCCCCTTCTACTTGTTCTTACGTCTTTATTTTTTTATCTGATCATGCACCGAGTCGTTTAGCTACACAACCTTTACACATTACCTAATCTAAAAAAAGTTATTTTTTTTGGCGGGGGGGGGGGGGGGTGTTTTTATTAGAACGACAAGCAAACACGTCTAGAAAAAAAAAAAAAAACAATAGCGGGTGCCCACTTGTTACCAACTTTCGTTGAACGCTCGAGTTTCGTCCACTGGCAACAAAATAATGTGTTCGTTGATATGAAGCGGTGGAGGCAATGGTTTCTCGTTGTCGTCCGGATGTTGGTTCCGTTCAGACGTCGGTGTCGGTAGGACTGGTAATAGTTCGTACTAAGCCGCGGCGACCAAACCGATCTGTCAGTCGTTCTTGTGCCCTGGTCCCACACTAGCGACAAAATAACGACAACCGACGACGAACAAACCTTAAGCTCGAGCGGACCGCTCGCGAGGGCACTCTTATCAAGCTTGCGGTCTGTCGGTCGGGAGAGAGGTGCCCGAACGATGCCAACCAAGGCAGCAAGAGTTCGCCCGTGCTTCGCGGGTCCCTCGGCGGAAGTAGCCTCCATTTGGGGCCTTCGCGCACGCGCTGTCGCGCAGTCTTGTAAACGTGAGCACCGAAACGGCTCCTGGATTGGCTTTCATCGGATGGATGGACGGATGGATCGGCCCCTTACACGCTGCGCCGTCGCACGGCGCTTGTCAGAAATGCGAGCGAACCTCCGCCACACTTGCCCCCCGTGGCGAGGCGGTGCCCGTTTTGACGCCTCTCTCCTCTTCCACCGTGCTCTGCGTGCCCCGCGAAGTAAGCACGAGTTGTTGAAAACCTGCCAAAGATACCATTCGTCGCGTGGTCGCTGCACGGGCTCACGATATTCGTCGGTGTCGGCTGTTACCGTTTGTCGCTCGAGCGGAACCAGGACGTAACGGAACGATGGAACAACACTCGGCCCGGCAGGCACAGATCGAGAACAGCGCGATAGCTTCTAGAAACTTCGCTGTGTATACAAAGACGCCGACACCGAACGAAGCTCTCTCTCTCTCTCTCTGACTTGAACAAGATTGAAAACGTGGTCAACCACACAGCGATCCCCCCCACCCCTCACCTTCTACGCTGCTGCCGTGCGACGCGTGCCCGCTCGACGTACCCGAATCGACCCCCCTCCCCCCTTCTCTTTTTGAGTTTTCGCTCGGTTGCTACGTGCTGGGAAACGCGCTCCAATATCGGTTATCAGGCGTTGTTTTTTGCTCGTTTTTTTGGAAAAAAAAAAGGGGGGGGGGGGGAGGGGGGAGGGCGAAAAGCTCTCGGTAGCCATATACGGCCTGAACGTGACCGCTTCCGCAGCGACGGGAACGCGTGATGCAGTGCTGTTTTGGGAGGTACAGTTCGCGACACTTTTAACGCAAACACGACTCCGTCTCTTTCTTTTTTTGCTTTTTGTTTGAAAGCATACAAAGAGCTTCGGCGTTGGTTCCAGACAGGACGACAGAACTATCTGCGGACAGTTCTCAAGCATATTCCAAGTGTGTTTGGTTCCTACATTTGTATGCTTTGAACCTGTCTGATGTCTGTCTGTTGTACGATGTACTAGAAGCGTGAACACGGCTTTAGGTTAGCACACCAAGTAAGTCCTTCCCGGCCCAATGTAGTACATTTAATAACAGTTCCTCAACACCGAAAAAAAAAATTGGAAAGAAAACGCATCTCCACGTGGTGAGTGACGTTGATTGGGGCGAAGGTCTGGTGGTGCTTGTCTGCGTAGACGCTGAGCCACAGCATGCCGAGCCTTTCTTTCGTTTTCATCCATGTCACGCTGCGGTCAAATGCTCCAATGCGTATATAACCACGTTCCATACCACACATTCTCTTTCTGACATGGATGAAAACGAACGAAAGGCTCGGCATGCTGCGGCTCAGCGTCTACGCAGACAAGCACCACCAGAGCTTCGCCCCAATCAACATCATTCAACACGTGGAGATGCGGTTGTTGTTGTTATTTTTTTTTTTTTTTTGCCCTACACGAGCACGGGAGCACGTGCTCACGTGCTCGTGAGCACGAGCACCCGACGCCGGAGATTGGTCGGACATAAGGACATGGCTAGCCCCTAAGGAGCTTCGCCCCTAAAACGGAGATGGTTTGTTTGCGTTAACAATTCAGCGGAACGAACTTTGCTTTCTTAGTGAAACGTTGAAGCGTTTACGCGGTACAGACTGTCGCTGCAGTCGATCCACGCGGAAGTTTCCTGGGGACGCTATTTGATATTATAGTTTACGGCGGCGGTTTAGAGGCGCTTGTTATTTAGTATAGTCGGTCGGTGGGAAAAATGAGGTAAATATTTACCGAACCCGCATATTCGTCAGAAAAGAATGGTTCTTGTCCGTCCCAGAACTGTCGGCCGTCTTTCGGGAATAATTCGCGTGCGCCCAAACATTTCGCGATTGGGAGTGCGGTATACTTAATTATTACCAAAAGATGACACACTCGCGCGATTAGATTTTTTTTTTTCAGGATGCTTTTTTGAGTTATTAATTTCGCAAAAATAAGTTAATCGCGAACAAAACGAAGTTGCTTACAGTATGTGGTGTATTTTCTGGTCGACATATATCGCGTGCTTTCTTGTTTCGCGCCAGACGCCGGCGAGATTCCTTCGCGCATATTTCACATGGCTAATCTGACAATCACGTAAAAAAATTAAAAAAAAAAACTTACTGTCATTGACAGCTCAAATAACGCAGGCTGCGACTTTTTTCTGCTCACCACTCACCGCGCCCCGTGCTTCTTTATAGGCTTGCAGCGACTATCGGCGAGTAGATCGCACTATAGGGGGCGCTTTGTCCGGCTCGTTTTCCCACGGGGCTGGTTGCGTGTTCAACGCCGAATCCTGTGGATTCTTTACATTCTCTTTATCGATTATGCGCCGAGCACAGAATTCGCGCGAGTGCTCCGTCGGTGTTCGACCTGGACGAAATCGACCCTTTTCGCACAAACTATCGACTTTATGCGACTAGAACTGTTTAGATAATTGTTCGGGAGTGCGTACGTCTATGAATGTGTACACCGGTTCGACTAAGTGCCTTATGTGCGTGACATATACCTACGTTATCATGTTTTGTTCTACTTTTTTATTATTATTATGGAGTAGCCGGTATTGGTGAAAACAGTGCCAGCCTGTCCATCGATTTCCACTTATTAAAGAAGGAAGACCCCTTTCAAAAGTTCAGCAGGCAACACTGGTGATCGCCATTGCAGGCAACGTGTCCTGTACCTGCTCAGAGAACGTGATCGAGCAATGGCGGACAAGGGTCGGCGCGGAGTTTTTGAGAAAAAAAAAAGGGTGTATTGAGGGCCCCCATGAAATGATATGTACAACTCGACTTGTACCATTTCTTATATTTCTGTTTTCAGAGGTACGGATACAAATTGCTGCGCCTTTTCTTTGTCTTGTTCCCGATGTGATATTCGAGGTATTCGTTCTCGTCGAACTGAATAACCATATTATTCTTGACCGGCAAAAAAAAAAAATAGCGACCCCCCCCCCCCCCTTCCCCAAACTGCATGCATTTTTGAAGTTGCACCGCCATTGCACGTAGCCACTTGATGGGTTTTTCATTGACCGCTCGCGAGCTTCAGCCGAACGCTGGCCACTTGAGCCGAGCGTCGCGTCAGAAACACGAACAAATAATGCATCACCTCGTTGTTGTCCCCATTAGTTTAGTTCTCAACGTAGCCGCCAGAGGTGCTACGGTTGGATATCTGCCCACTTACACGGGTAATGTAAGATGAACGCTGGTGCTTAGCAGCCGAATGGTATTCTTTACCATGCTTCATTAATTTCATATTTAGCAACGTACTTTTTAAAAAAAGCTTAGCCTTTAAGGGTTCTTCTTTTCTTTTTTTTTTAATAAAAAATTGTTGATTGTTTAAATTAAAAGCTTTGGCTAGGTGGCGCAAGCCGCCAACCAATTGACGGGTACCAGCCGTGTCCATTAATTCATTCATTCCCCAATAGCTGCGAGTTCGATATTTGCGACGGTGTCGTTCTTGTTTCGCGCTCTCTGCAGGCCAACTCGCAAGACGGGACGGACTCTTCGAGCAGCGGGTGCGGGCTTCTACTTCCGCTGCTCTTAGCACTGCTCCCGTTTCTACCTGCCTCCAATCTCCTGGTGTCTGTCGGATTCGTGGTCGCCGAGCGCGTGCTCTACATCCCCAGGTGAGCTTCGCCCTTCCTTTCAACCCGCGTTTCTCCATATCGATCGCCAGCGCATCTAGTAGCTCGCTCCCGTAAAGAGCTCTATGCGGAAAGCAAGTCTTCTGTTTCTTGTGCAGGGCTTGCGGTAACGTCCAAACGACGCCGATCTTTGATTGGAAGGATAGTGCGTAGACCTCAATGCTAGATGCCTCGAGGTATACCCACTATTTTTTTTTTTAATCGGCCAATAAAAGATTGGTAACCTGACATCACTGCAAGAAGCAGACGAACTTGCGTTCCGTATAGTACAGTGCCTGGAGCGCATCTGCGACTCGTGTGTTTATCATTCTATCCTGTCCACCCACCGAAAGCGGTCCCCAAATGACAACAAACGGCGTCGCAAGAGCCGGCGCGTCATGCCGTCGGATGTCGCGCTCCTGGCGGTTGGTTGTAGAAACGCTGGGGGACAGTAGGAGCGAGCGCCAGGGTCGCTGCCGTCGCGGCGTCCCGTCTCGCGTCTGCTTTGGTTTCCGTCGGCTGTCCGGCTGCGGAGCAACCAGCGGCGGAACAGGCGTCTGCAACGTACACACCCGCCGCTGTGACACCGCCAGGATCGCGACAGGCGATAGCGCGACACTTTCGTGACGCCATCAGGCGGAAACGGAATAACCACTTTTGAGAACGCGGTAAACGCACCTTTTAGGGGACGCGCTCCAGACAATGAGCGGAGTGCAAATTCGTCTGCTTCTTGTGCAGGGGTTGTGGTGACGTCATATTGACGCCGAGCTCTGATTGGTTCTGATTGAAGGATAGTGGGTAGACCTCGAGGCACTTCGAGGTCTACCCACTGTCCTTCCATCAGAGGAGCCAATCACAGCTCGGCATCTTTCTGACGTCACCACAACCCTTGCAAAAGGAGCAGACAAACTTTAGCGTCTTTGTCGTTGGTGCGAACAGTTAAAAACAGTTGGAAAAGTGCAGTTGTTTTTTTGTTTTTTTTTTTCTGCGGGGGGGAGGGGGGGGGGGCTGTCACGCCGTAGAAAGAAGAATACAATCATCCATACATCAAGTCAACCGTCGGCGTACGCGCCGTGCCAACGACATAGCCACCACGTCGGCGTGACGTCAAAACCGCATGCTCTCGACGAATATCTCGACGGAAATCTCGAGATCTTAGCTCCTCTTTGACGCGTGCTCTCGACGAATATTTCAATTCGGTTTTATTGCTACCCGTCTCAATTAATCGCAGCTCTCACTGTCAGCTTTATCGGTCGGATTATACCCTTTTTAATAAAGGTCGAGAAAGGAGCAACCCCTCCCCCCTCCCCCCCTCTCTCTCAAAAAAGAAAAAAAAGGAGAAGAAAAAAGCTCCGCAAAAACAACACGTTGAGAGCTCTAAGACTTCGAATGAAAGAAACCGGAAGAAACGTCGCGCAAATTAGATGGAGGACACAATGAAACGAAGTGGTCTGGTCACCCCCTCCCCTTTTCTTTTCTTTTTGTCGTTCTAGGTTTCTCTCTCCCTCTTTATTTTTCTCTCTAGTGAAGTCTCTCTCCATTACATGTATTAAATTATCTGGCGTTTGCCTTTTGTTCTGTTTGTTTTGTTTTGTCTTCACTGCCCCTTATATATATATTTTTTTTGTTTTTTTTAAAGAAAAAAACCTTTTGGGAGAGTGTTTGGCGTCTAGGGCTCATTGTCTTTTCGTCGAAACAAAAGATGGCCGGCTCTCATTAGTGCAAAGGACCGGTGCTGCTCACCATGCTGTGATCCGGGTGACAGCGCCCAAGGAATGAGCGCCTCTTCTAACGCTGAATTTCCAGAGAAGAAAGAAAGAAAGATAAAAACGGCGCCTGCTGCTCGCCGATCTCTCTTTGGAGCTGCGATGAACCGTGCTCGGATAAAATAACGAAGCCTATAGAGGGAGCAACTCGCGTAGAAATTACGGGGATGTGTCAGTTCTATGACTTCCCTTTCTCTTTGTTATAGTTCGAGGGCGATGCTGCCAGTCGACGATCGTGGACTATGCGTAATAAGCGGAAGTTCGCGATGGACTTCGATGAAAAAGCTCTTTGTTCTTGCGCATAATTGACCGTAACAGGTTTAGTTCTGGAGTGAGAGGCCATGTCGCCGCAGTATCCGTTTGTGTGGAATCGTGCTTTCTTGCATCGATGGTACGTGTTTTCGAAAAAATCAAAATATAAGTTGTGCCCGGTAGCGTGATGTTGATGCATTAGCCGAGGCTAGCCGGTCAAGCTGGAGGTTTCTGGAAGCTTTTTGTGGTCGGGTGTTTATTATAAAAACAATAAAACTCGATTATTTTCAGTATTTTTTTTTTCTACTGAAAGATTATATTTTTTAATGATGCCTTAATGAGCGATTAGAAACAGATTTGGGGAATTTTTCGTGCCAATCCAACCAAGGGCATTTGGCATTCCCCAGCGGAGGATTGAGAATAGATTTCGCTGACCACCTGGACAACGTTTGACGTGCAACCGACAGCTCGGTTAAACGGCGTTTTTTTCCGCGATGAGCCTCCGTGAGGTTGCGAGCACCTCGGCAGGGATTCGAACCCGTCACCTGGGCATCCGCACGCCGGCGCTCTTGTCGTCATCGGGATGTGGACCAAGTAGGAAAACGCCGAAAAGGAGTGCAGTGATGACATACTTGTAATCTCTGCAAGTGGTGTTTGGTGACATCGAACGCATGTCGCCGATAAACATTTTTTTAAGGGTAGGGCAACGACGTTCCTTTTTTCTTTTTTGTTTAAGTCGCGACGAGAGATCCAAAACAGAAGAGAAGGCGAAGGGATGGACAGTTGATAAATTTCGAACAAAGCTGCGATTGCAGTGTAGCTTCTCGGCGAAACGCACCCTCAAGCATACAGAAAGAGATTATTTTTGATTAACCATAAAAATCTACCCAAGCACCAATCTGCAAATCCGCACCCGGGCAAACACCACAGTTAGAAAATGAGAATATTTCTGCAGCTTCAAAGTGACAAAGTGTCTTAAAAGAGTTTATTTTTCTTATCTGTTTTCAGTGCCCAAGTTCTAAAGTGGATATTGTAAAGTGACGAAGATCTTGTATTGGTTTGTGTAACAAACAAATACCTTAGCTCCTTGCGTTTTTTTAATCGCCCACGCAGTTGCCACGGGCGTTCACCGCCACGTTTGACTGTGTCTGTGTACGTGTGTGTGTGTTTTTATATGAAAGTGAAAATACGATTTTTGTTTATAAACCGAACGCTCGCCAAAGTACACAATTTTCGCTCCAGAGCAAAACGCGAAACAGAGTTTTGAGGTAGCTCGCCCAAGCTTTGCTATAAACGGTCCGACGCGGCTTGTCCTGATGTTGTAAATAAAAGGGATAAAAATAAACACGCACCGTCCGATCACACTCGGTCTCGTCTGCGAAAGGCGAGCTATGCTTTCACGGTCGGACTTTGCGAATGGCCGATATCTCGTGGAATCTCGGAGAATCTCGAAGAAATAGCCGAAAACTTTCCCTCCCCCTTTTCTCGTTGTTTTTGGGAGCACGGCATATACATACTCTGAACTTCCTTCATCTTTTCTTCTTTTATTGCTGTTTTGATTGTTGTTGATGCCATTGTTTTTGCGACCTGCGGTTCTCCCTCATCTTTTTTGCTTAATATCTGTGCCGCTTTTTTTTAATTTTATTTTTGTATTTGTTATGATGCAAGGTTCACGTGCGTCGTCTGGCGTTGCGCGTTTTATTTATTTATTTTATTTATTCTCCCCCAAAGACCCCACGCGGAAGATATTTCGAGGCTTTGAAAGCTGCCATTTTTATCGCCTTTGTCTCGATGCGAAGAGCAGGTTTTTGGACATTTTTTTATTTTGTCTTGTTTTGCTTGCGAGTGTGTTTTTTTCAGCCTTCTCCTTAAATCTGTTTTTTTTTTCAACATTTTTTTTGTAATGCGACACGGGGGTCATTCTTTTCATTCGCCCATTCCCGGCAGACGCCGCAAGCATGGCGTATTTCATGCAGTTTTACTGCACTCCTCTGACTCTGGTGTCTGGCGTCTCGGAATCGTTTTTTGGCTTCTTTGAATATTCTAGTAGTATTTATTTTGTTTTTCTCTCGTGTCTTTCTACGCGGTGAGGACGAGAACCTACACATTTTCTCTCCAGTGGTATTGAAAAGAACGAAAACAAAAAAAAACCGGGAAGGGGATAGGTGGCATAGCTTTTATGTTACGATATACGCCATGAAAAGCCTAAAATGAAAAAAGAAAAGACAAAAAGAAATCAAGTAGAATTCGCAGAAAAAGAAATTCTGTTAGGGATATCAGGATTTCGCAGTAGCGTCCATATTTCAATACACCTTTTTTTTTTTTTTTATTCAGAATAAAAAAAAAATGATGATGCTTGAAATCCTAAAAGTGCGCGGAAAACGACCGTAGACGAGTGAACGACAGCAGCGAAATGGGAGAGTGTTGGGGTAAGATATCACTTAAAATTGAAGATAAGTAAAACGTACGAAAAAAAAAAGAGCATCTCTACTAATCGGACTAAGGAAGTGAGAAGAACTTGAGGGGTCTCGATGTCACTGGAATCGCAAAGGGTTTAAGCTTTGTAGACGTTAACCTAGACTGGCAATCTGAAGTTAACAAAGGGGTTTCATTTCAAATACGCCTTACTATTTCTGTGATTTGTTTAAAGGGGCCGTGAAATTGTTTTTAGGCCGGGGCAGTAAATTTTAGATTGGAATTTTTCAAATCGCATATCGTTTAGTGAGCCAAAAAATAAAAGGTACGAAGTAAAACATCTGCATCTGCTACAAAAATTTGAAGATACAGCGGATTCTTTCGTACCTTCTTTCTTTCGAAAGCTGTCTGCCTTTTCACTGCGATGAATCCGCGGTACCAAAAACACATCAGCCGACCCCGCATAAAACATTGGACACGATCACAGCGTCACACGGACGTACGCACTCGTATCAATCCGTCGACGAATATTTAGGTTCGCGTTCGTGCCCAACTTGCGCCACAACGGCACTTATCATCCCTTGCGAATTACAAGTTTCATGGTGTGCTTAAGAAAGCACAGTGGAAGCTTTGAGTCATCGCATTAGTGCCCAAGCAGGTCGACTCCGTGATTTATCGTTTCGCTTTTCGAGTTGAGAAATAAAGCTATAGGGAAGATGCAGTTAAAAAATCATTTCGTGGTCCCTTTTTAAGGCCTGTTCACACATGCAGCGGAGCGCTACAAGCATAGCGCTGACCTCGCACTAAGCACGTGCCGACGGGAGCGTTCACCAGCTTTGTATCGCACCGTCAAAACTGTTGCTCATGGCAGACGATAAGTAGCTGACGGCACGTGAGCAGCGCTACATCAGCGCTTCGCTGCATGTGAGAACCGGCCTTTAAAGTGACAGTGAAAAGGGTGGTGCACCGCGCGACACAAAGGTGTCGCGCGGTGCCACCTGGGATCGTGACGAATTTCCACATGGTCAAGTCACGTAACGTTCTAAATTTTCCCGCTAACTTTAGCTTGACCTTGCGTCCGTTTGTGCGGTTACACCTTTTTTTTTAATCACCCCTCCGACACAAAAAAAAAAATGGCGTGCCCTCGCAACGTCTTGCAAATGAAATAACGCGATTCCATAAAAAAAGCGAATTTATTTTCGCTCTTCACTTTTTGTAATCAGGTTCAACGAACTCAGCCAACGCGGACGAAGCGCGCCGACTCCGTCAGTGTGGCCCGCCTTCCTCTTGTCCTTCGCTTTCTTCGGCGCCGTTCACTTTTCGTGACCATGTTCCAGTACTACGCCTTGAACAGAATTAATTGCATTTGTACGTTGATCTGTGCGTACCCAGCATCGGCGTCTGCCTGCTGGTGGGGGAAGGGCTGTCTCGGATCCAGCGGAGGTTCAGCGGCGCCGTGGCCAGCGCTGCCCCGGCACTCACCTGCGTTCTGGTATCGCTTCTCGCCGTCAAGACGCTCGACCGAAACTCCGTCTGGGCGTCCAGGGAGGCCCTCTTCGAGTAAGTTCGAATCTATGAGTTCGGCGGTTCTTGCCAGCGTTACTAGATCAACTCAGTTATGGAACTTCCCATAGACGCTGTACAATGGAGGGGGTCCGACACCGTGTCCGATTTTTTTACAGCTAGGTGGCGCTGCCGGCGCATTATTCTACGCGTTTGTGTCTGCTACTGCTCCGCGGCTGCTTGCGAGTCCCGACTCCTCTCGAGGCTCAGCATGGTTGTCGGTTAATGTTTGCCCTTTCGCCAGTAAAAATTACAATTTGAGCATGAAACGCGCTACGACCGTTTTGGCATACGCTTTGCATTATTGTAAAATGCTGCTGCCTTAGCTGTGCTGACTGCGCGAAGCGTTTCGAACAACCCAAATTCGTCGGCGCCACAATCCGGTAGCTGCAATCAGGGCAAGTTTGTACCTACTCTAATAGTAGATGTGCCGATGACTACCATCTGCAGCAGAAACAATTTGAAAGTCGTCTGTTACTGTCAAAGAATCGCCACGGACATCCGTAAGCTCAGTAGGCCAGATGCAACGGCCATGTACGATCTCTATGGCAACGGCCATAAGTGTGACGTCAATGATGATGATAGCGAGTGTTAACGTGGAGCGCGCGCCCTCTAACAGGCGCCACGCAAAGGAACCCTCCTCCTCAGCGGAGTTCCAGAACTGAGTTGGTTCTAATAACGTTGGTTCTTGCTTTGTATTTTTCTTCTTCTTTTTTTGTTCTGTTTAAAGGTAAAATATGCCACCACGTTTAGGGAATAAGAAAACCAGAAACAAATTCTAAATTACTTCGCATTGGGCTCACTCAATTTATATATATATAATCAGAATGAAGGCGGTTCTGGAAGATTGGATGTGGGGGCCTTTGTTTCGCTAATGTACTTATTTTTGTTCACTTTCCTGCGGTGCGAGTGTGAAAGGTGGCACGTGATTTGAGCCTCAAGCATCAGCCGACCTCAGCTTATTCGTGAAGCAGCATTGTGTAAATCGATTGATTGCACATGCATTTTAGTAGGGGTCTTTTTTTTTTTTTTATTCTTTTTGAACAAAGACGTACGACTCTAAAATTCAGAATCGTAACTTTGACGAGAAAAAAAAACAACACTTCTAGTGTTCTCTAAATTTTATGATAAATAAGGCACACCCCCGCCCCCCTTCCCCCAAATAGCTGCGCTGATTAGGAATACATAAAACAAGTTCTGCACCCCATCTTAGTTTGTTTTTTATGCTGTTTTGTTGCTTAATGGTCGAGGGGGATCGGGGCTTAGTAATCACCTTTATCGAAATGATTTTGAATCCGGTGGTAAACCGTAGTGTCCTTCAACAGAGCCTCCACGCGTAGCACACTAGAACAAGAGTCAACTTCGTGTGTGACCTAACTGCTTTGCGGAATGTAGCCCTCTCTCCGTGACGTGTTTTTGCAGGTCCGGCATCCGGGACCTTCCGGAGAACGCCAAGATGCACTACAACTACGCCAACCTTCAAAAGGACTTGGGCAACGCGCCGCTGGCCATCAAGCACTACAGACTTGCCATCAGGTCAGAGAAGCTTGGACGCTTGACCCAACGCTTCCTCTTTCGAGAAAAATATTTAATCTGGATTCTAAATGTTGTTCACTTTAGTCATGCACCACGTTTCTCAGAAGGCTAGAATCGCGCTTAGATACGCAATAAAAAGAACACAGCCTAGTCCGAACTAAATGTACTGGCGGTACGCAAAACGATGTTTTATGCCGATGCAAACCATTATCCTCTTGTGCAGGGGGTAAAACTCGCGTAGCGAAAAAGGGAAAATAAAAAAAGGATGGGGGGGAAAAGGGGATTTTGTAAATAACTTCGCCGTGGTGTGGAGCATCATCTAGAAGATTATTGAACAAAAGCTGAATCCGCGTTGCCAGACCCGTAAAGCAGCTTTCCCCTCAAATACCGCCTCGTGAAGGAAAAGACGCCTTACTGTTCTATCGATCGACCCTCGCGAAAAAGAGGCGCCTATTTGAATGAAGGTTGCTTTATGTACTAAAGAGTTCTGGTAAACATTGTATAGAACGCAGAGTTTACGTGTTAAGCTTCTTCTAATCTTCTGTTGTTCTTGTTTTTCCTAACAATAGCTCTATGCCAACGTTGTTCAGTTATCTTTACAAAGGGGCAACCCGCCGACTAGATCTTATCACTCACGATAATGGAGGACGCAAAGCAAGTGGCAACCTCGTTTCACACCGTGAATATCAGGACATGAAAATTAAGAAGAGAGACACTGGACGCTTGTAAAGTCCCTGGCTGGAGCAGAACCAGTCATTTCACAGCCTCAGGGCGGCGACACTACGACCTGAGACTCCAGACATCTGCTTACCCCCCAACTATGGCCGTAACCCAAACTATAACTGCCTGGTGGTTATGAGTGGACCTAAACTGTCTTAATCTTAGCGTGTGCAAGTTACGGGCAGGCCTAATCAAATCAAACAAAACCCTATCCTTATCATCTGCTGGTAAAGGGCCGGACATTATTCAGCTAACCTAACCTAATCTTCACCATAACCCTGAAAACTTGACATCTCGGGGCGTTACCTAACCGAAGCTAAAATCGCCTTCATACTAAAGGCTCGTTTACACGGCACCGTTTTCTTAAGGCTCATTCGCGCTGCCCCATTTTCTTACGCTAAGTTACGTTACGTAGAAGTTACCGAAACATTCGTGCCTCGAATGTTGCGTGCCAGGCTATCTCATTGAACTGGTAGTCACGCTTAATGTGAAACACGGATGTTCTGGTAACTTATGCCGTAAGCCTTCTTGACGTAAGGTAAGAAACTGGGGCCGTGTAAACCAGCCTTAAACGCTTGCAGATTACTGTCGGTTCTTCAATAGCCTTTCATAACGTAACCTCTACCCTAAACCTAACACCTGTAGATTATGGTCGGACCTTGCCTATCGTAATCTTAACGCTGATCCTAACGTCTTGAGGTTACGACAGGGCACTCTCTAACCCAACGCTAACCCTAAATCTGACGTTTACGAGTGATAGCCGGATCTTCCATGAATTAACCTAACCTATTCTTGACCCTAATGTCTGCAAATTATAGCCGGATCTCGCGTAACGTTAACCCTAACTCCTGCAGGTTATGCCCGGATGTTTCATGAACTAACCTAACCTTGATCCTAACCCTAACGTCCGCAGACTATAGCCGAGTGCTTTCCAGCCTAACCTAACCGTTAACCCTAACCCTAACGTCTGCAGGCTGTGGCCGGACCACGCGAGCGCCCACAACAACCTCGGAGCCGTGCTAAGTTCCAGCCGGGAAGCGGAACGCCACTTCCGGCACGCGCTTCGCATCAACCCCAACCATCCCGGGGCCCACTTCAACCTGGCCAACCTCTTCAGGTACAGTCGTCTGGCCTCAGAACCACCAGCGCGCTGTACAAACGCCGACAATCATCTGCCCACAAGAGAGGCTAATCCTTTTGACGAGCCGAACACCTTCACGCAGGACAGCTCGTGAGCGTGCACGTTCTTTTATGGGACCTTGGGCATTCGTCCTTGGTGTACTTCGTGGTACCTCAAGTGTACTTTTTGGTGTACTTTGTGGTACCGTAGGTTTACATTTTGGTGTACTTTGTGGGACCTTGGGTACTGAACCTTAGTGTACTTTTTGGGCCTTTAGATACTCGACTTTGCTGTACTTCATAGGACTTGGAGTACTAGACCCTAGTGTATTTCGTAGTGTACTTTTGAGACCTTGGGTACTAGACCTTAGCCTACATTGTGGTGTACTTTTAAGAGCTTGGGTAGTAGACTTTACTGTAATTTTCGGTACACTTTGTGGAACCTTGGGTACTAAACTTTAGTGTACTTTTTAGGACCTTAGATACCCTATTTGTTTTACTTCGTGGGACCAGGGGTACTATATCCTGATGTACTTCTTAGAGTACTTTCAGGAGCTCGGATACTAGACTCTACTGCTTTTTGTGGTGTACTTTTTGGACCATAAATATTAGACTTTGGTGCACTTTCTGAAACCTTAGATACTAGAGGTAAGCGTACTTTGAAGTGTACTTTAGGGAGCTTGGATACCATACCTTAGCGTACTCATTGGAGTACTTCGTCAGACCTTGGGTGCTTAGTGTGCCTTGTGGCGTACTTTTGGGATCTTGTATATTAGACCTTAGTGTTTTTGTTGTTTTGGTGTACTTTGTGGGACTTTATGTACTATGCCTTAGTGTACTTTGTAGTGTACAATTGGTAACTTCGATACTAGACCCGTGAGTACTAGACCATAGTAACTAAGATTTTTATAACGCGAAAGTGTGACACTCAGTTGCCCTGCTAAATTTATCGGTGGAAGCCCCAATAGGTTTATAATTATAAAAGATCCCTTTGCCCTTCATATCTAGCGGGCAAACTTGAACATGTGTATAATTATTTACCAATCTAATTTCCCGTTATATTTAACGAAAATAATACCCGAAATGGTGTATAATAAAAAGTACATTGCACCACATAATCTAGGTAAGAAACGTTTCCCGTTAAATTCCATTAACGTCTGCTGAACTTCACAAAAAAAAAAGAATTGAAAAAAAATAGTAAACAGAAACGTCATGAGCAAAAAGCAAGTACCAACTCTCATTCTGAACTTGGGCACCTGAGCTTTATCATATATAAAGAAATCTTGTATTTGTTTTCTTTTTCTCTTTGACGGCGCGTTTATAGCAAGCGAGGCAATCAGCAGCTGGCCCGTACCCTCCTCGAGCGGGCCGTGGAGCTCGAGCCCGACTTTTGCGAGGCGTACTCGTCACTGGCCGCCCTGGCGGCCGATCAGGGAAGCCTCGCCAGGGCGGAGTCACTCCACCGGATGGCGCTGCGAAGCGACCCCAGAAACGCCGATGCGCGGAACAACTACGGCACCTTCCTTCAGACACAAGGTGAGCTGTTGTCGCTGTTTACGAACAAGCTCGCGTCTCTCCACGTGACGTGTGGGCTCTGCAATAGCCTCCCCTATACTCACAAAGCCTGGCAGTTCGACGACGGAGCCATAGGGTGCCCGGTCGCAGATTTGGAGCGCGAGGGTCTGGTGGCACAGAGCATTTCTCGGGGAAACCTGAACGTCAGCGCACAGCTTTTGCGGCGGCGAGGACCCGAAACATGGTTTTCAAACCCGACGGGAAAAAAAAAAAAAGCGGTAGCTCGAGGAACGCGATGAGCACGAGCGGACATTTTATCGCTCGGGAGAAGTGTGTTTCGGCATCTCGCCGCAGCGGGGCGCCCGTCACGTGGCTCTCCTCTCATCCGTTGTCTGCCTCTCTACCTTTTTCAATTTCGGCAGCCGCTTCTCGTGGCGATCTGCCAGGTTCTGTCAGTATAGAGGAGGCTATGGCACAGCGCGTTCGCGGTAACCATAATCGCGCGAGGTGGAAGAGTCTGCGCATACAGCAGCGCACTTCACCGGTCCGTGGCTGGCCGCCGCCCTTGTAGCGACGCCCGGCCCACGGCCCGTTTCCAGTCCCGCTGGCAAAAAAAAAAAAAAAAAAAGAAAGATAGTCGCGTGTAGTGCTTCGTATTCGTTCTGGTTCTTATCGCCTTGTTTGATAGGTATTGCGTGTCATATTTACTGCACATGGTCACCACCGGCATCTCCACTCCTGGTCCCCTGTTTTAGGTCTTTGTAACTATGTCAAAATTATTTTACGTTCTCACGTATAACGTGTCTAATTAAAACTTGTTGTTGGCCTAGTTGGTTCATGATGCAGTATAGAGGTGTTTTTTTTTTGCGCGACACAGGGGACAATTACAAGCGAGTAGACACGGACAAGCGCAAAAAAAAACCTCTATACTGCAACGTGTCTAATGTCCCGTGTCATAAGTATTGCGTATGGCCACCATCGGTCGAACTATCCTCACTAGTCTTCTGCCCTCTGGGAATAAGCTAACGTTCTTATGCACTTGGATTTATGCCGGGTGAGTTTTCTGGACTACAATTCTTGTACAATGCCGTGATTAGCGAAATACTAAATTATGCTATATAGTGAACTGCATCACTCGCACGTTTTTTTTTTTTATTCGCATGTAGGCTTTATATTATTCCGCCTTGGATTTTAATTTGATTCCAATTTGTTTTTTTTTTTTCTATTTAAATCAGTATCTAAGACCATAAAGGGTGCTTTTTTTTCTGATTTAATTTTTTTTTTTTTTTTTTTTTACTTTAGAGTTTGCGAAAGACAGATAATCTGGCCCCCTAACTATAAAGTTGAAAGACCCCTGCTCTATACATGCTAATCCGCTGCAACCCTCGCCCACTTCACAAGAAAAAAAAAGAACTCGGTGTTTTCTTGTTTTTTTTTTTGTTTTTTTTTTTTTGTAGGAGTTGCATAACGTAGGTTAGGTGCAGCAGTCGTAGCGATTTGGAACAACTGCCGAATAACGCCGTAAACTATGCGGCTAAAGAATACCATCAGCTGCGAATTAGCATCGAAAAATTAATCACCGTCGAGGTTTTACTGCATTTACCCGTACGCAACCTCCGGTTTTTAATCAACATGGAGTAGATTTTGTTTTTACAACTTCATTTAGGAGCGGAGGAACCTATACACGAATCACGAGAGGATACAAGAACGATTACGTATAAGCACATACGGTAACAAAAAGAATCCACGCGGGGCAGGGCGAGACCAATCTCAGAATGAACGCGTCAGAGATTTCCGTTTAAGCTCGCCAGCAACAAGCGAACGGACGCACGCACTCACACAGAGACTGAAATATGCAGACGCGGGACCGGAAAGATTGCACCGATACGGCACCCTCGAACAAAATAACCACGCGCAAAACGCGCTCGCGATCCAGGGACAACAGACACAACAACACACACGAAACAAAAAAAAAGGCAGCGTTCACCGAACACGACAAACGCCCAACCATTTCTCCCTGTGGGAATGAGGAGAAAAGGACGACATCAACATAACGAACAAACACACATACACACGCACGAGAAACAACGCAAGCAACAAAACGTTCGTTCCGCGCGGCGCAGGGAGTCTACCAACGATGCACGCTCAAACGAGTGCACCCTACCGACGCGAAAGAGGGTCTCACTCGCCGATGTTATTCTTTTTTTTCCCCAAAACAGACACACGAATCTCGGACCATCCTTCGCCGCTTGCTTCGCCCACTCGCTCAAGCAGGGGGGGAAGAATTCTCGAGGGACGACGGGAGAAAGAGACGAGGGAATGGAGAGGGAGCATCTAAGATGTTGCTTTTCGAAGGAGATAAAAACACACACACGCGCACATAAACACAAGAGGAAGAGCGCATCGAGACGCGGGACGAAACGGCGGCCGGCGTCTCACGCATCGGCTGAGCAGCGTCCTCCCGGAAGCTACGGCTCGCGGCGGGTCCGACGGCCGAAAGAATCCCGCCGACCGCTCTCTCGCAGTTTTCTCTCGGATGGACCGAACGCTAAGCCGACCGCGATAGTCCTTATACGCGCTCGCGCCTAGTCTCCGACGCTTCATTGGTTGTCCCACGAAGTGACGGGGATGGCGTCGCGTTCTCCCGGCTCCCCATTGGTTAACTCGATCGTGACTTTCCGTGACGCAACGCGTTCGTGACTACGCTTCGTTTCAGCTTACGATGGATCACGGAGGACGCTACAAGCCAAGCCGATCCAAGCCAATCTAATGGCGCATGACTGTCACGTGACCTTCGTTAGGAACGTCGCGACGGGCGGGGTGTTTAATCGCGTTACAGGTTCTCGGCACTGTGTTGGCTGGAACGCTCGTAGCGTTCGCTATCGTAAGGTGAAACCGACGTTATTAGAGAGTTTTAGAGAACCGTTTTCGCACATCCGTAACGGTGCGATACAACGTCCGGTACGAACTGCGTAGGCGCTTCCGCGTAAGACTCATCTACAACTCGTACAACTCTACAACTTAGATTAACTCAGTTATGGAACTGCTCATAGATGCCGCTTGCACGAGCCAGTGCCCCCCCCCCCCCCCCCCTCACTCACCACGACTCGCCTCCCGTCGGTCGACGCGCCGCCGGACGGCTGCCACGGTAACTGCAGTGTATTCCATGGAATACGCACGTTTCGAAGCACAGCGTATAGATGACGCTCCCTCGTATTCTATGGAACACGCAGTTAAGAAACGACAATCTAGATGGCGCTTCAAACGACGGGAGACGGACGGAAGTGAGTGAGGGGGTTGTACCCCCATCCGCGGGAGTTCCACAACTGAGGTAATCTACCCCGTGTCCCGAATAGTGACCAGGCTCTTGAAATCGACCGCAAAAATCGGTTTCTTAACCTATCGCGTTCTGAATTTGTACAGCGTTGGCCACAGGTGGTGCAATTTTTTTATAAATTTCGCAAAGAGCGAACTTGCCTGAGGAAAAAGTAAAAAAAAGAAAAAAGGCTTAACTCCTATGTAAACGCGGCGAAGCCACCGGTCATCAGACCATAGGGCGCCCTATCGCTCGAAGACCGGTAACTTCTTTGCGTTTCCATAGCAGTTAAGCCTTTTTCCTTTTTTACTTTTCCCTCAAATAAGTTCGCTCTTTCCGAATTTTATGGAAAAAATGCACCACCTGTGGCTAACGCTCTACAAAATCGGAACGCGATAGGTTAAGAAACCGATTTTCGCGGTTGATTCAAAGAGCCTGGCCGCTATTTTATGTTGGGTGAAATGGGGTATCGTGGTTGGCTTGGCTTGGGTCGTTGCCTTTCCATTCGGTCCATCTCGAGCCGTAACGGAGCGAGAGCGCCTCCCCGCTCGCTCTCGGCATCCTCGGCAATCCATTGCCCGAGTGTCCGGTCTCGTGGAGATCTTGGTCGGCGGGTGCACCGTCGGCGAGCTCTCTTTTTGCGGAAGTCCCTTGCTCGCATAAGCGAGGCATTGAGGAAGGCGCGTGGCGTTCCCATGCTGACCGGAAACGGCTCGGCGACGGCTGGCTGTCGGAGATGCCGCGGTTTTGGACGTCTCGCCTGCATACGTTACCCAGGCTTTTCGCAGTCAAGGGGTTTATGGGCACTGACTTGGATGCGTGCGCGCGCGACCGTACCGGCACTGTTTTCTTTGTTTTTTGTTTTTTTTGTAGAAAAACGTGCGTTTGCGGACGTTTCAGGACGGCTTACCGGCTTCCTGTGACTCTGCATTTTTCTGGAAGAAGCGTTTTTCGGGTGGACGCTCGTTTATTACACACGTGGTTTATATTCATATGTAAACTAACCCAAGCGTTCGCGCGATTTCTTATTTTTTTAACATTTCTGTCTTGCGTTTCTGGTACGATTTGAGGTTGCCACAGCTTCCCTTGAGAAGGGCGCCAAGGCAATCATTTGCACCGGCTCGCTTTAGTGCTCTTCCTTAAGTAATAATTAAATTAAAAAACAAAAATTAAAAAAAAAATTAAATAAATGGGTGATCCCCGTCTCCTGCACGATTTCTGTATGCTGATCCAGTTTACGTCTCGTATTTCTTGCTGTCTTTCTAGGTCTATTCACCGGGCTTAAAATTAATATAAATTTGTTTTAATGAGGTACATGGGTTTTGGAGGCGGCGTGGTGGCAATCTTTAGTCATGCAAAGTTCGTGGTAAATGAAGAAAAAAAAAATCAGTCACGCATTTATTCGACAGTACTTTCAGTACCATTTCGACACCTGGTGACAACTTTTCTTTTAATCTTTATTCGTTGCGTATATTACGTACTTGAAGATCTCACCACTGCACCTACCAACCTCTCCCCCCCCCCCCCCCCGATTTCCCTCGCTCAAAGGGAAATTATCGAAGTTTTATATGAATGGGTATAACCATTGGAACCAAAACTGCAAACCCCTCTCTTCCGTTGTCTTTTTTTTCCCCCATCATGGCCGCGTCTTACTCAGGGAGAGATTAACAATACATGCAACACTCCCATTTCCCCATTTAAAACA